ATAGATCTGGATTTTTCATTATAATATTTATTGTGAACTCTGCCAATAGCAGCGGTACTATCACAATGTATTAAAACAGGAGGTATCGGTTTATTCCACATTAGAATTTCAGATAGTAAATCACGTAACCAACCTGCTTCTTCACATGCAGAAGCAAGAGCAATTAACTCTGCTTCCATGGTAGACTTTGCGATTATGTGTTGTTTTTTGGATCGCTAACAAATGGCTCCACCTCCCAATGTAAATAAATAACCAGTATTGGACAAAGAATCACTGGATTATGAACTCCAATCTGCATCACTAAAACCTTCAAGTACAGCAGGATATTTTTTATAAAATAGACCATAATCTAAAGTTCTCTTAAGATATCTCATGATTCTATGAATTGCATTCCAATGTGTAATGTTGGGTTTACTAGTAAACCTACTAAGTACACCAACCGCATATGCAATATCAGGTCTGGTACAATCAGTTGCATATCTCAAACTACCAATTATACTAGCATACTCTTTTTGATTTATCACATCAAAATCATTTTTAGTAGGAAATAAACACACATGAGAATCAAAGGGTGTACAAACTGGTTTGCAATCAAAATAATTATATTTTTTTAATATTTTTTCAATATAATGAGATTGATCAATAAAAATTCCTTCTGAATTTTTTGTAATTTTCATACCAAGTATGACATTAACTTCGCCTAAGTCTTTCATTTCGAAATTACTTTTAAGTAATGCTTTTGTAACCTCAATTACTTGCATATTAGTCCCAAATATCAATAAATCATCAACATATAAACAAATTATCACATGAGAGTCTCCAAATGATTTATAATAAATGCACTTATCACTTTCATTTGACCTAAAGCCATTAGTCAATACACACTGATCAAATTTTCCATGCCATTGTTTAGGTGCTTGTTTAAGTCCATATAAAGATTTATTCAATTTACAAACTTTATTTTCTAAACCTGGTTGAATAAATCCTTCGGGTTGATCCATATAAATCTCTTCATTTAAATCACCATTAAGAAAGGTTGTTTTGACATCCATTTGATGTATTTTTAATTCATGAATTGCTGCTATAGTTATTAAAAGTCGTATAGAAGTCACTCTTGTAACTGGTGAAAAGGTATCAAAGAAATCTATCTCTCCTTTTTGCTTAAAACCCTTTGCAACAAGCCTGGCTTTATATTTATCTATAGTGCCATCAGGTTTAAACTTTTTCCTTAATATCCATTTACAACCTATAGTTTTACAACCTGGAGGTAAATCAACTAATTTTCAAGTTTTATTAGACATTAAAGATTCCATTCCTAATGATTTGATAAAATTTATAAGGCCAATAGTATCATATTCTTTTCCTCTATCTGTTCTAAATCTTTTGATTTTTCTCTCAAAACGATTTTCAATCTCTTTAACAAAAATAGTAAATTTCTCAAAAGCCTCACTTTTATGTTTCATAAGGTAGACATAACAATATTTTGAAAAATCATCTATAAATGTGATAAAATATCTTTTACCTCCACGTGTTAATATGCTTTCAAATTCACAAATGTCAGAATGTATTAATTCTAATAACTCTGTTTTTCTTTCAACTTTCAAATGAGGTTGTTTAGTTATTTTAGTCATGCTACAATATTCACATTTTTCAAACTCATTATGCAATTTTGGAATTAACCCTATGTGGCTCATATTTTTTAAGTATTTGCTATTTATATGACAAATACGTGCATGCCACATATTTATACAAGAAACGATATAAGCAGGAGTAGAAATTTCATTCATTTCAACATTAAGTTTAAACATACCATCACAAGCATAACCTTTTCCAACAAAAGTACCATTCTTTGTAAGCACATATTGATCAGACTCTATAGATTGCTTAAAACCAGCCTTATTAAGAAGATAGCAAGAAACTAAGTTCTTCCTAATTTCAGGAACGTGAAGAACATCTCTTAGGGTCACGACACGCCCAGAAGTAAACTTTAGTTCAACTTCGCCCATGCCTAGAACATTGGTTGTATGTGAATCTCCTAGCAAAACTTTTGTTTCTTTTCAATAGGAGAATAACTTTTGAACCAAGTTCTATCATAGCAAACATGCCTAGAGGCACCAGAATCAGCCCACCACCCTTCAGTATTTCCAACAAAATTGATTTCAGAAACCATAGCCACGAATGACTCTTCAATTAGTTGAGTCACATTAGCTTGTGGCTTAAAATTGGGTCCAAATTTTCTAAAACGACAATTTTTTGCACGATGACCCAATTTTCCACAAACAAAACAAGCTCTATTATTCATATTATTTCCAAAATTTGGAGTATTTGAAACTTGTTTTGAAGGGGGTCCTTGATTTGACTTTTTCTGGTTAAAATAATTTTTTGAAAACTTGTTTTTCATATTCTTCCCTCTAGACTTCAAATAGGCGTTATTTTTGTCTTGTTGACCCTTAGAGACTGATAGGCTACAATTTATCTATTTATTTTATTATTATTTTCCCCTATTACCTGACTTGATGTGGATTAATTGCTGAATTCTACTCATTTTTCTTAATTTACGTATACTTCAGGGAGTAGAACGAAAATATGATAACAGATGCCAAATTGACAGGAAAAGATTTCAGATGATAAAGCTTGTCCCAGGGGCACTTTTGGAAGAGGAGATGTCACGCCCATTTTGGTAAATTTCGCAAAGGAATGACGGACGGAGGGCTTCTCTTCCTGCTGTGAGCCGCCGCAATTAAAAGAAGAAAAAGAGGATCAGATGCGGGGGCTGGCTTTTGCTGAGTTTTTCGTCCTGTAGCTAGTTTCAATTTTTGACTTGGCTTAGCCTGGAATAGCCATTCTCACGTATGTGAGGAAAAAGTAGGATCAGCCTTGACTTTTCCCTTTGTAGCTTTTAGGTGTTTTCTTTTTCTTCTTCCGTCGGATGAGCCGACAAGCAAGGACAGTCCATTGTACTCTACAACTTTACTGTGCTTTATTGTTTTGACCGGATTGAAGTTGGGCATTTCCTGAATTGATGGCCGCAGCTCTCTTTACAATTTCTGGTGGGTTTAGCTCATCAAGTATGAACTAACTTTTCCCTTCTAGTCAAGGAGCAACGAAGGCTCTGGTTCGCCTAAAATTGTGAGATCGTTTTAATTTAATCTTTTCCTTTTATTTATTGGTATCCGCACATTTCGTGATTGTTATGCTTATGGTTATTTAATTAATTGATTGTCTTGGATCCAGATAATTAGTTGATTGGGTAATCTATTGTCAATTAGGGCATTAAATCCGTAATTGTTTAATTGCTCTAAAATAGTGACAACTGGCATGATTAGATTTGTGTCAGGGGAATACGCGGGCTAATCTAAAATAACCCTGGTAGTGTGTTGTTTGGTTAGAATAGGGCTCCTCAAATATGTAAGGCAATTGGGGAATTAAATTCTATGAGCGTACCTAGGATTATTTCTCAATTAGAGTAGTGATTAACGGGCGTACCTTGATCACCGACACAGTAAGGAGGGGTTGACTGTCATCGCTTGTTTGGTAGTTATAACCTATTTATTGATGAATAATGGGAATTGCCTTTGCTTCAATGATCAATTAGATGAACCATTGCTGAAGTTTTTCCTTGGCTAGATCCTTAATTATCACTCGTTTGATTTTAGTAATTTGTTATTTAATTTTTAGTAGTTTTTTAGATTTTATTTGGATTTCTTTGAGTGTCACCTTCTACACAAAAAACAACCCCCTTTGTCACTGTGAATTTGAAGAGAAACAATTACTCCCAATTCCTGTGGATTCGACCCTGCTTACCGCTATCTACAGAAATTACTTTTAATTTGAGTAGGTTTTATTATTGCACAGGTTTCGACAACCTGTCAATTTTTGGCGCCGTTGCCGGGGACTGACGTTATTATTTGTTTCTTTTTTAAATTCACTTTCTTTGTCCTAATTCTCTGGTTTTCTTCTAGTGTATGCCTCGATCTTCTCGTACAGGTGATTTGATTTTTGACCCTGAGGTAGAGAAGACCGCGCGTAGAACGAGAAAGGAAACCAGACAGCTCAGAGAGGAGCACTCCAGTGCTGCATCTCAGAGACCTGAGCCAGGAGTTGACCCAACAGATTCGTTTGGTGACACCTCGAGTGACTCGGAGCAAGAAGAAATCCCCATGGCTAATGCACGAACATTAAGGGAGTTGGCTGCCCCTAATTTAAATCAGCAGCCTTTATGCATTACTTTCCCGAGTTTGAGTGAAAACACTTCATTTGAGTTAAAATCTGGTCTGATTTCTCTTTTACCCTCTTTTCATGGTTTACCAGGTGAGGAGCCGTATAAGCATCTGCAGGAGTTTGATGTCGTGTGCAACAGTATGAAGCCCCCGGGCATTACAGAAGAGCAGATAAAAATGAGGGCATTTCCCTTCTCCTTGAAAGATTCTGCGAAGGACTGGCTGTACTACCTGTCACCAGGTAGCATCACCACGTGGGACCAATTGAAGAAAAATTTTTTGGATAAATACTTTCCTGCGTCCAGGGCTGCAAGTCTAAGAAAAGAAATTTGTGGGATCAAGCAGCATCCAGGGGAATCGCTCTATGAGTATTGGGAACGGTTCAACTTCTTGTTGCACAAGTGTCCCCAGCACCAGATAAGTGAGCAGTTGCTCATTCAGTATTTTTATGAGGGACTCCTTTTCGGGGACAGGAGCATAATTGATGCTGCAAGTGGAGGGGCACTGGTGAACAAAACCCCTCAAGAAGCACGGGAGTTGATAGAGAGGATGGCAGAGAATTCACAACAATTCGGTACGAGAGAGGATTGTCCAATACGCAGGGTGAATGAGGTAGAGACACCCTCCATGCAGCAGCAGCTAACTGAGTTGACCGCGTTCGTTAGGCAACAGGCTGTGAGAAATGCATCACAAGCCAGGGTATGCGGGATTTACACTGGTATAGGTCACTCTGCAGATATGTGCCCAATGATTCAGGAAGAAACTGCAGAGTAGGTGAACATGGCTGACCACGCGCCCGCGCCAAGGAAGCAGTACGACCCTTACTCAAGCACCTACAACCCCGGGTGGAGAGATCATCCCAACCTCAGTTATGGAGGGAATAGGCAACCCAACTTTACACCGAACAGGCAGTCTAACTTTGTGCCAAATAAGCCACCAGGGTACCAGCAGCAATACCAATCCCGACCACCTCCGCCCCCAAGCTCTGGTCCATCTTTGGAGGAGATGATGAAACAAATGATGACAACCATGGCGCAAAATCAACAAATGATGACAACCATGGTGCAAAATCAGCAAAGGACGGACTCCGAAATGCAGGATATAAGGAATCAGATAAGTCAAATGGCCACAACAATCAACCGTTTGGATTCCCAGAACCAAGGTAAATTGCCATCTCAACCCGAATTAAATCCGAAGAACGTGAGCGCAATGACCCTAAGGAGCGGGAAGGAAATTCAGGGGCCTGAACCTGTGATCCCTAAAGATAAAGATGAGGAAAAGATCGAAAACGAGCTTGAAAGGGAGGACAGCAGTGGTGCAGATCTAAAGGTACTTCCCGACCCAATAATTACAGCTAAAACTAACCCGCCTCCTTTTCCTAACAGGTTGGAAAAATCAAAAAAGCAAGATAAGGAAAAGGAGATTTTGGAGGTTTTCCGCAAGGTTGAGATAAATATCCCCCAGTTAGACGCAATCAAACAAGTACCAAAATATGTCAAATTCCTAAGGGACTTGTGTGTCAATCGAAGGCGATTGAGGGGAGATGAACGGGTTATTGTTGGGGAGAATGTGTCAGCGGTCCTGCAGAGAAAGCTTCCACCCAAGTGCGGGGACCCAGGTATGTTTACTATCCCCTGTAGGATAGGGAACACTGTGATTAGAAGGGCCATGTTGGACTTGGGAGCATCAATTAATGTCATGCCTAAATCTATATATGCTTCTCTAAAGCTAGGTCCATTAAAAGAAACTGGAATAATCATTCAATTAGCTGACCGCACTAATGCATATCCTGATGGGTTGGTTGAAGATGTGTTGGTGAAAGTTAATGATTTGGTGTTTCCAGCTGATTTTTATGTACTTGATATGGATGATGATCACTCCCCCGATCCCTCACCTTTGTTGTTAGGTAGACCCTTTATGAGCACAGCACAAACAAAAATTGATGTTAATAAGGGTACCTTATCCATGGAATTTGATGGGGAAACTGTGCATTTTAATATCTTTGATACTATGAAATATCCCTCAAACTCCAACTTTAGCTCAGTTTTCTCTGTGAGTGCTATTGACCCTGCGGTGCAGGAAGTATTTGAAACTGTTGGTAGGGATGAGTTGGAGGTAGTTTTGACCAAGCACCTCGAGTTGGAAACAACTCCTGAGGTGGAGTGGAGTGAAGATCTAAAATGCACAATAGGTGCATTACACTCATTGCAGACCACCACGAAAAGGTATGAAGTCTTACCTATTTTTACTCCCGAACCTCACCAGAGGGTATTGCCATCTGTGGTACAGGCACCTGTATTGGAGTTGAAACCTCTACCAGAGCACCTGAAATATGCATATCTGGGTGATAATGAGACACTCCCGGTGATTATCTCATCGGCACTGTCAAAAACCCAGGAGGAGAAACTGATCCGGGTCCTTAGAGAGCATAAAGAGGTGATAGGTTGGACAATTACGGACATTAAGGGAATCAGCCCGGCCATCTGTATGCACCGGATTAGACTAGATGAGGATGCCAAACCTGTACGACAGGCTCAAAGGAGGCTTAACCCACTCATGATGGAGGTGGTGAAGAAGGAAATTTTGAAATTGTTAGATGTGGGGATTATTTTTGCAATATCAGATAGCCCTTGGGTGAGCCCGGTCCAGGTAGTCCCAAAGAAGGCAGGAGTGACGGTAGAGGCTAACCAAACGGGTGAGCTCGTGCCAGTGCGCAAACCCACTGGATGGAGGCAGTGTATAGACTACCGTAGGCTAAACGCCGTCACTAAAAAGGACCATTTCCCTCTCCCTTTCATTGATCAGATGGTTGAACGTCTAGCTTGTAGGGCTTACTATTGCTTTTTGGATGGATTTTCAGGATATTTTCAGATAGCAATTGCACCAGAGGATCAAGAGAAGACAACCTTCACGTGCCCGTTCGGGACCTTTGCCTATAGACGAATGCCATTCGGATTGTGCAATGCACCTGCAACATTCCAGAGGTGTATGGTAAGTATTTTTTCTGAATATGTGGAGAAAATAATTGAAGTTTTCATGGATGATTTCAGTGTGTATGGTGATAGTTTTGATACATGTCTAGATAACCTGAAATTGATCCTGATAAGGTGTATAGAGACTAATCTTGTGCTTAATTGGGAAAAATGTCATTTTATGGTTGAGTACGGGATAGTCCTGGGTCATATTGTATCATCTAAGGGCATCGAGGTTGACAGGGCTAAAATAGATATTATATCTGCTTTGCCTTACCCCGCTAGTGTGCGGGAGGTACGTTCTTTTCTTGGTCATGCAGGTTTTTATCGAAGGTTCATCAAGGATTTTTCAAAAATTGGGGTCCCGTTGTTCCAACTCTTACAAAAGGAGGTGACCTTCGAATTCAATGACAAATGTGAAAAAGCCTTCGACAAGTTGAAAGAGTTGTTGACCTCACCCCCAATCATCCAGCCTCCTGACTGGAGTCTACCATTTGAGATCATGTGCGATGCCAGTGATCATGCTGTAGGGGCTGTATTGGGGCAGCGAGTAGGAAAGGCAGCTCACGTCATCTATTACGCATCCCGCGCCCTGAATGGGGCCCAGTTGAATTACTCCACTACTGAGAAGGAGCTGCTTGCAGTTATTTTTGCTCTAGAAAAATTCAGGTCATATCTGTTAGGTGCTAAAGTGATTGTATTTTCTGATCATGCAGCATTAAGGTACCTGATGACCAAGAAAGATGCAAAGCCAAGGCTCATCAGGTGGATATTGCTACTACAGGAATTTGACATGAAAATAAGGGATAAAAGGGGTTCAGAGAATTTAGTAGCTGACCATCTGAGTCGTATACCCGTTGGAGAGGATAAGGAACCATTGAGGGATGCATTCCCTGAAGAGCATTTATTTTCTCTGAATTCTCAATTGCCTTGGTATGCCGATCTGGTCAATTATTTGGTAACTGGTAGTTTTCCTGCAGGTTGGCCAAAGTCGAAGAGGGATAAATTGAAGAGCGACGCCAAGTATTTTATCTGGGACGACCCGTACCTATGGAAGAGGTGTGCAGATCAAGTGATGCGGAGATATGTAAGTGAAATGGAATTTCAATCGATTTTAGTTTTTATTCATACTTTTGCCTGTGGAGGTCATTTTGGACCCAAGAGAACTGCTCATAAGGTTTTAGAAAGTGGATTTTATTGGCCTTCATTGTTTAAGGATGCTTATGTGTTTTGTAAGTCATGTGATCGCTGTCAAAGGGTAGGTAATATAGCCCGTAGAGATCAAATGCCCCAAGTCCCGTTGATTTTTGTTGAAATTTTTGATGTTTGGGGTATAGATTTCATGGGGCCTTTTCCTACTTCATTTGGTTTTCTGTATATTTTGCTGGCAGTTGATTATGTGTCTAAATGGGTGGAGGCTAAGGCCACTCGGACTAATGATTCGAGAGTAGTTGCAGATTTTATCAGAACTAATATTTTTGTACGATTTGGAATGCCAAGAGCTATTGTCAGTGATAGGGGAACGCACTTCTGCAACAAAACCATTGCTGCGTTGTTTCGCAAGTATGGTGTACTCCACAGGGTCTCAACGTCGTACCACCCTCAGACCAATGGTCAAGCGGAGGTATCGAACCGGGAAATCAAATCCATCTTGGAGAAAATGGTGCGCCCCGATAGGAAAGATTGGAGTCAACGGTTGGAGGACGCACTTTGGGCCTATCGGACGGCGTACAAGACTCCTATAGGGATGTCACCGTACATGTTGGTATTTGGGAAGCCTTGTCACCTTCCAGTAGAGTTCGAGCACAAGGCTTTTTGGGCAATAAAGCAATGCAACATGAATCTAGAGGAGGCCGGTACCCAATGGAAGTTGGATTTGCAAGAGTTGGAGGAGATTCGGAACGAAGCCTACGAAAATGCATTAATTTATAAGGAGAGAAGCCGGACATTTCATGACCAACAAATTTCAAGAAAAACATTTGAAGTTGGTCAGAAGGTCCTCCTATACCAATCAAGGCTCAAGTTATTCCCAGGTAAGCTACGTTCCCGTTGGATTGGACCTTTTATTGTTACTCACGTTTTTTCATATGATGCAGTTGAAATCCGAAGTGCTAAGACAGACAACAAGTTTGTGGTGAATGGACACCGTCTCAAACACTATTACGAAAGTTTTTAGATGGAGAAGTGGAGACAATACATCTAGACGCACCACCGTGTCTTGATCAGTGACACTTTACCATGTCTAGCCAAAGACATTAAAGAAAGGCGCTCCTTGGGAGGCAACCCAATTGTTCCTTTTAATTGTTTGTTCAATTTCGTGTGGTAGTTTAGATGTGTTCTACTTGAATTCGATTGATTTTGGGTTTCAGTTTTCGTTTTTGCTGATTTATAGGTGCCCTTCAGTCATGACGTGCCCGCGTGGTGATGTGCAGGAAGCTCACGATCAGAAAATTCAGAAACTTCTGGGAGCTCTCTTGCCCTCATGACGCGCCCGCGTGGTGATGTGCAGGAAGCTCACGATCAGAAACTTCTGGGAGCTCTCTTGCCCTCATGACGTGCCCGCGTCACGTTCGCGGGAAAGGTAGGGATTCAAAAAAAAAAGAAAAAAGAAAAAGAAAAGAATAAAAATAAAAAACAAAAAAAAATTAACATTTCTTATCACCGTAGATTTAGTTTCAAAATTTTTTTTTAAAAAAAAAACAAGAAAAAAAAAATCAATTTCTCTCTTTTTCTTTTTCTTCTTTTCTTTTCTTTCTTTTTCTTTCTTTCTTTCTTTCTTCTTCTTTCCCTTTTCTTTCTTTCTTCTCCCCTGTTTCCTCTTCTTCTCTGTTGTCCGATTCCCTTTGCCCGCCGCCCAACTCACACACGCTGCCACACACCCACGGCCCCGCTGCCCCCCCACATCCGTTCGCCGCCCTCGGACGTCAACCCTCCGCCAAATCTGCTTCGCTGCTGAAGCTCAATCGACGCCGCCGCTGCTAAATCTCCACCGTCGCCCACGCGACTTCCTCCGCACGTGGCCACAAGCCCACGGGTACGCGCAGCAGCCTCCGTCCAGCAGCCGTGCTCTGCACACGGACACCGCCATCTACTTCCAGCCCGTCCGCCGCCTTCCACTCCTGCCCGCAACTCCTCGAAAAGGCCCGCGACTCCAGTGGCCGGCGCAGCCGCCACTTCCCTCACGCTCCAGCCGCGGCCACACTGCGAGCCACCGCCGCTCTGTCGCGGCTGCCCAGCTCTGCTCCTCCACCCATTGCGCGCCGCCGCGGTCTGCCTCCCAAATTCCAGCTCTTCGCGCACCACCCAGCTGCTCTGCACACGAAGCTACACTGCCGCCGTAACCTGAAGCCCTCGCGCGACGCCCTTCTCTCTTCGATTCGCCACCAGCCGCGCGCCTCCCTCGGCCCTTCCCCGCTACTATCCCATTTCGTTTGGCTACCCTCTACGGTGAAGGTATTTGGAAGCTGTTCCTCAAATTCTTAATATTGCTTAGTATTGTTGGGGTTGCTTAATAGTGGTGTCGTTGCTTATTGGGGGTTATTTCTTCAATTGTGTGATTTCCGCCAGTGGTACTGGTTGGTCTATTTTTGCTTGGAACTGCTATTTCTCTTGGGTTGTGTTAAATTGTGCAATTAATTGGCCAACTGGAGCCATTTGTTGGGACTTTGGGTGAGCTGAATTGCTGTGATTGTTTGTTGACTTTGGGGGACACTTTGAACCTCACGTTGCTTGTGGACATTGGTTGACTCATTATGAATTGCTAGGCATTATTTTGCTTGAATTGCTGGATAATTCGCTGAGGTTTCTTTTGAGATTTTAGTTGAGTTATTTCTGCACTTTCTTGATGCTTTAGAGAGGCTGGCCGCGTGCATTACTTGTTGAGATTGGTAATATTCAGTTTAATTACTTGTTGAATTGCTGATTTGGTAGGAGCCTTACTGTGTCGGGCTACTTATTGACTGCGGTGGACTGGCATACTTGTTGGGGTTACTTTCATTGCTATAGTCACTGAGCTCATACCAGTTGGTTCGCCATCTGTGGGGCATTGGGCATTTTTACTTGCTAAAATTCTTTCGTTTGTTATTAGTTGGGTTCCTACTGGGAGATTTTTGCTTTGTTGTTTGCTGAGTTTCTTTTGCTAGTTGCTTCTGCTGGTTTCTATACTTGTTGGGTCTTCTGTTGCTTTGAGCTAACTGGTGGGAGACATGGTGAGACCAAAATCCTCCTCTAGGTCTAGGGCCTCTCAGTCTCAACCCCCTCCACAAGCCTCTATTCCTGTCAACTCCCCTACCAACCTACCCTCCTCTTCTAGTGTTCGAACCCGTTTGGGTAGGGGTAGGGGTGCTCAGGTAGATACCCCTGCTCACTTTGGATGGCACTTAACATTTACCAGACCCGCCGATCGGCAGAGATACGCTAAGGTCTGTGAGAGGCGTATTATACCCTGCAAATCTTGTCACAAAATCACTATGACTGCCCTGCGTATACGTGAGGAGGTCAATCAGATGTTTACCGCCATTGGGTGGTGCCCGTATCTTGATATCTCCTGCCCTGCTTTTGTTGAGCTGATTCGGGAGTTTTACTCCACCTTTGAGTTCGAGTTGCCTACGAGATACACCGTTGAAACACCAAATGTCATTCATTTCCATCTAATGGGTAGGGAGTTCAACTTTTCCATTACCCAGTTCAATCTGGCATTTGGATTTATCACGAGAGAGTATGCTGAAACTAGGGAGTATGCGGAGAGTGCCTGTGATTACATAGAGCTATTTCTCTCCCAATATCATGATGTGTGGGAGGAAATGTCAGTCGATCGACACCGCTACGACCCTTCTAGGTCTAGGAGCTCCTTTCTTAAGGATCCTAGTGTCCGCTATGTTCAGCGATTCTTAGCCTACAGCTACTCAGGGCGCAAGGACAGCTCCGGTATACTCTCTCGACCTGAGTTTTTCTTCCTCTGGAGTATGAAGAACAATATCAAGGTCAACTTGGGGTGTTGGTTGGCTGCACAGTTCAAGACTGTTTTGACCAAGAAGAACAAACCTCTGATTCTTGGGTCCTACATTACCCACTTGGCGACGCAGTTGGGAGTTCTTAGTCTGGAGGACCACGACTTACATTTGGCTTTCGAGATGGAGCTCCTGGACGTGAACTGCTTAGAGAAAATGGGAGTCGTCGAGCGCCTGCCCAATGGTTTCCACCAGTTTACCCCTCCAGGCCCAGTTCGAGCTCCGGGTGCACGGCCTTCAACGCAGGCGGGGCACTCTTCATTCCCTGGGTCGGCCGAGGACACCGCTGGGCCGTCATCTTCTGCGCCACCTCCACCATATGGGTCAACTGAATGGCAACAACTCCGGGAGCGGGTTCAGAATTTGGAGGCTCGAATGCTCAACGTCGACCTCAATGTAGCGGGCATAGCACAGAATTTGGCGCAATTTCTGCATCATACGGGCTTTCCTCCTCCAGCTCCACCTCGCCCACCTCTTTGACCGGATTTCAGGGAAGTGTTGTTGTCCTCTCACCCACTTTTGTTGGTTATTTGTCACATTGAGGACAATGTGTCCTATAGGTGTGGGGGGGTCTAATGGGGTGCTAGTGTTTTTAGTTTTCTTTAGTTTTTAGTTTTATTTCTAGTTGCTCATTTTCTTTCTTTCTTCTTTGTGCTTATCTCTCCTGAAAAAAAAAACAGAAAAAGAAAAGAGAAAAAAATTGATTGGATGTTGGCTCATTGACTCTAATTCTACTTTTGCCAAGTTTTTAAAATAAGTATGTATCGGGTTGATGTGGTTGGATCCAAGATATCTCCTTGGTGAATGTCGGATTGCTTGGCTCTTTTGATTTCTTTGTTAACTTTTCTAGGCGTTGGGAATGACTGTTGGCATTTTAAGGTGAACTGGTCCAATATTGACTCCAGTTCTCCATGTTTGGCAATAATGAGGCGAGCTGCCCCTATGCTTAGTTGCTAGTGTTGGTATTTCGTGTTTTTGGCTTTGTTTGGCTGTGAATAATCTGGACTGTACTCCGCTATTAGTCACTACTGAGTAACCGGGGATCTGCACCTAAAAGTGTCGATTCTCGCGTCAAAAGGTGGTACTTTCTATGAGTACGTGGTCGTATAGCGGTAGAAGCTGAGTAACCGGGCTCCTTCATCTAAAAATGTTGGAGTTCGCGTCAAAAGGCTCCGGCGGCTAGAGACTAAGTCTTCTTGTGTCAAATATTATGATTGCTTGAAAAAACGTAAAACAAAAAAAAAAAAAGAACAAAACAAAAAGAAAAAAAAAGAGAATAAATAATAGGAGAGCTTGCTGGTTTATGGACTTAATATGGGGACTTGTGTGAATATTTGGACCATTAGCTGATAAATGTTGCGTGCCATTCCTTTTCCTTAGATTAGTTAATTTGGAAATTGAAGGAGTTTGTGGTTTATAGGCTAACTGGGGGGATGCCTCTCGGATTTTAATTACTAGTGCCCGATATGTGGTTCTTTCTTGAATATCTTGGCAATTTGGTAGATTGGGCAATGACCATTATCGAATTTTGGTGTCTTATGCTTGAGGACAAGCATGGTTTAGGTGTGGGGGGAATTGATAGGCTGCAATTTATCTATTTATTTTATTATTATTTTTCCCTATTACCTGACTTGATGTGGATTAATTGCTGGATTCTACTCATTTTTCTTAATTTACGTATACTTCAGGGAGTAGAACGAAAATATGATAACAGATGCCAAATTGACAGGAAAAGATTTCAGATGATAAAGCTTGTCCCAGGGGCACTTTTGGAAGAGGAGATGTCACGCCCATTTTGGTAAATTTCGCAAAGGAATGACGGACGGAGGGCTTCTCTTCCTGCTGTGAGCCGCCGCAATTAAAAGAAGAAAAAGAGGATCAGATGCGGGGGCTGGCTTTTGCTGAGTTTTTCGTCCTGTAGCTAGTTTCAATTTTTGACTTGGCTTAGCCTGGAATAGCCATTCTCACGTATGTGAGGAAAAAGTAGGATCAGCCTTGACTTTTCCCTTTGTAGCTTTTAGGTGTTTTCTTTTTCTTCTTCCGTCGGATGAGCCGACAAGCAAGGACAGTCCATTGTACTCTGCAACTTTACTGTGCTTTATTGTTTTGACCGGATTGAAGTTGGGCATTTCCTGAATTGATGGCCGCAGCTCTCTTTACAATTTCT